ATTGAGCGCTGAGCTCTGCTCCTGGCTGTCAGTCACGGCCATGGCTGGCTCCTATTGGCCAAGGAGGCCCTGGGCTCCGCCCACGATGAGCCGTGTCCCGCAGCATCTCCCCACACGAGTGTTCTATTGCGGCACAACCCCGCCCCCGGCTGTCAATCACGGCCAGGCAGCGCCTATCGATCCCTGAAGCCACGCCCCCAGCTCCTCCCTTCATTGCGAGCAGATTCCCGCCCTTTCCCGCTGTCAGTCACAGTCTCTCACAGCCCCCATTGGCCAGTGACGCTCACAGCCCCACCCCCTGCAGCGGGGACGCATGATGTCATGGTCGATCAGTATGACATCATCGGTGACATCATCGATGACATCACAGCACATGGGGCTACACTTTGGATGGGCAACCTCCGTGTCCTCCCTGGCCTGCCCAGACCCCTGAGCAGAGCCTGGAGAGCAGAACCCACAACTCCCCCCAGTATGGGACGACGTGCCCGAGGGGAGTCATCATGTCCGGCATGTGTCACCCCTTAAAGGACACCCTGGGACCCTTCAGGGACCTCCTTGGGCCACTTGGGATCACCTGGGAACCTTCAGGCTTCCTCTGGGGATCTCCTGGCACCCGGTGGGGCATTCCGAGACCCCTCAGAGGAAGATGGAGCCACAGGTGCCTGGCAGGATCGACGCCCTGGGACCCTCCGGCAGCAGCAGGAGGCTCCTGCCCACAGAGGTGTCACCCACGGGACAGGCAGGCACAGGTCCAAGTGGACAAACCAGCCTCCATGGGGACTCTGGGGGGTAACCCTCTGTGTGGGGGGCTGTGATCTGTCCAGGAGGTTGTGGGACCAACCCAACCCCCCGTAGTGCTCAGGGGCTTCTTTTGGGGTGGGGCATGGCACAGGCTGGGCAAGGACACCCAAAGGGGACAAAGCAGCGATGAGACACACAAGGCTTTCCCCCTGCAGCTGCAGCCAGGGCTCCCCTAATCCCAGGGCAGAGGGACAATGAAATGGCGTCCCCCCACCCCAAATACTGCTCCTAGACCATGGCATTCCCCCCAGACCCCTCCCCACTCATGGCCTTATCCCCCCACCCCACTGCCCCCGCAGCACAGACAAGAGTCAGGCTCTCCACACAACCTCTTTATCTGGGCCGATTCAAAGGGCTCAGCAGGCCCCAGAATCCCGGGGAGCTGAGGGTGGGGGTCCCACGGCCCCTCAGTGGGGCAGCTCATGGGGGATCAGTTTGTAGTGGGCACCACAGGAGGGGCAGCGCTGGGCCTCGCCCTTGTGTAGCCAGAACCAAACCACGTAGCTGTTGTCCTCCTCACCTGGGGGCACAGGGAGAGCGTGGGGGAGAGCAACAGGAGACCTGGACAGCGTGGGACAGTGCACAAGGACAGGAGGGGACGGACAGATGGACAAGGGACAGGAATGGACTCACCAACACCACGGACAGGCATGGATGGACACACGGACACGGGGACACACTGACGCGGGGATGGACACACGTGCAGGAGAAGGACAAACACATGGACACGGGGATGGACATAAGGACACAGGGGAGTACAGACACACGGACAGGGATGGGGGGCACTCACAGACACAACCCACGATGCGCTTGTTGCTGATGGAGGGGACGAGGTTCGGGTCCTCCTTGGTGCCCGCGTAGCGCTTGGGCCGGAACATGCTGTACGGAT